AAAAAATAAACATTTTATTCTTCCAATAGTAATGATAATACACATTCTGTCTTCCTTCAAGGATTCTGCACAGAATCAAGTAGAGACTGTAACTATGAAGGTTTGTTTAAGTTCCAAAGATTTATAGACAAAGACGTAGGAACTTCTAGCATCAGTGTGAGATCCACCACTTCCCCTTTTCTGTCCCCTCCAGCAGGATCATGGAGATGGTTACACTGAACGCTTAGAGAAAGTTGCGGGGCAAGAAAGGTACATTTTTTCAGTGCTGCCCAAGAATTGATAACAGTCAGTGAGAGGAGGGCATCTAACTGATCCATATTCTACAACAATTGATGTCTCGAGGAAGCTGAACTGGGTCAGATATTCATAAATATCCATTGGATCTGCCAGAAATGCTTTTAACTTCAAAGGAAATAGAGATTATTGGTGTTAATAACCTTTGCCTTCTCAGTTTCTTTTCTGTTTTTATTCTCTCTATACAGATTTTTTAAAATGTATTCATATAGGGATTTATTAATGTCTTACAAAAATATCTTCATTGTTTTCATTTGTTTAATTGGTTGATTTTATAGCTCAGAGAGTTAAGAAACGGCCACATTCTCAGTGAACAGCATGGTGCTTAGTTTGATATAACAAGCTCAGGTGAGTGAAGAGATTTCCGAAGTCCTGAAACTGGTCACAGAAAGTCCTGTTAGGCGGTTCCCCGATGATTCCACTTACACCTCACCCCATACTCCATTGCTTCAACTCACAGCCTTGAGGCCAGAACTTGCTTTAGGGACACTCTGCCCCAGTGAGTACTACAGCAGTCAGCAACACAGACATCAGGCTAAAAAGTAGCTTGCTCCTTTTATAAAGGTGGATCTCAAGCCTAATGACGTGAACTTACTGAGAGCTACTTCATGTGGGTAGAAAATTCAGTCCTGCTCATGTTTAGGTACATATCCTGAGAGTTTCTATATTCTTTCATGGCACAAATGTGCCTCTCTTCTTACCCTCAGTACAAGCTAGGAGGGCTATGGATAGAGGACAGAAATAGAGGATCCAGATATCACTAACTGTGGGTTGGGCCAGATCCTTGCTGTCTCTGAGACTCTATTTCCTCTTTGTAAGATGAGGGTTTTGGACAAAGTTTTCTGTAAGTTCCCTCCAGCCCAGACATGTGTCATTCATTCCTCTGTCACTCCATTGCCTTGTTGTGGTTACCCAGACTCAGAGTGGCTCAGGTCATGCCCAGGGAGCTGCAGTGTGAACTTCTCATCCTGTTTCACACCTTGGTCCTTCAATCCTGTGCTCTCCCACATATCTAAATTCTGTGTTCATTTCAGACCATGGCTACTACTTCTTCCCTATTACCTTTCTGATGATTATTCACAGCTTATTCAAAAAAGAATGTAGAACAGAATTCAGAATTGAGAATTTTGTAACCTCCAGAATATACCATTTATACATAGACTTTTACTTAACATATATGAAATATTTTCTATTTATGTCAGAGAAAGGGTCTTTTTACAGATGACTATAAGAATCCACAGATACACACTGTGGTACACTCTGTCATTTTCAACTTCATACTGAATGTGTCTAGGAAGAACTTAGAACAATATTTATCCTTTCATTATAGGCCAACACAAATCCTCACGAATTTCTCATAATTAGTTGTGTATTTTTGTAAATCAAGAAAGTAGTTCACAAATCATAGCTTATGGAAAAAAACATTGCACAGGCCATCTCTAGAGAGGACAATAAGACACAGATTTATCCAGTCAGTCATTTGGGTACTGAGAGATCAGGAAAGATTCCGCTTTTTTTCTCTACGTGCCAAATAGGAAGTGAAGACAGTGGGAACATTTTACTGTTAAGGATGACAGGGGTATCTGAGGACACCTGGGAACAGCACAGGTCCTCAGGACAATGGAGCTGAATATCAAACTTAGGTGTCTGCCCAGCTCTGAACAGTTACGTGAAGTTCTTGAGTATTCCACCAAATACCATTTACAACAGTATCATGGGTCACTATTAAATTCACTTGCTTACATGACTGAGATCAACACTATTCCCCTTGTTGAAAACTGGAAAGTCACAGCCTCCCTTTCATTATTTCATTGAAGGTTGAATTTCAGCAACTCTGAGAATGATCAGTAATCTCCTTGAAAGGTATAGTACCTGAATGCAATGAATTTGAATCTGCTTACAGAAAATTTTTGGAAGGAAAAAATGACTTCTTGTAAATTCTGAGAAAATTCAGATCTTTATTTTTAAATGGTTTCCAAGCAGACAATACTATACTGCTGACAACTAAATTGAATCACAGTTAATGTAGCTCCACAAACACAATGAAATCATTTTTTTAAAAACAGGCAAATGGAGGAGCTGCTGACCTTCTTCCTCCTCTAGACATATCACAACTAAATTTTGAGTCCTCACTTAATGATAATTGCTTTTCTAGAAATTGCTTTCCTACAGTTTTACAGATTTAGAACCCATGGAAAGACTCTGTGACAGACTTTAAAGCAGGAATTTCATTAACAAATGCTATCCACCTCTGCACTGTGCACGGTAACAGGGTAGAAGAGGCAGGTAATAGAAAATGTGGCACAGACAACAAACAGCTCAGCTCATCTCACAGATGAGTGCTCTGAATGGAGGAAGCCTCTTCATAATTATCTTAATGACAGTTGGATTTCTGAACTAGACATATCTCTCTCCCCCAAACTACAGTCAGAACTGGGAGGAAGCAGTATTGTAAACCCAAATATCGACTTTAGTCATCCAAGTGTTGTAATATTCTTTTTAGTTTTCCTCAGAAACCAAAAAGTTATATTTGTAATCCCACTAAGACGTTATTGGAATCCCAGCAAGTTAATTCCAATCTACTACCATCAATGCAATCCACAGCAAGAGTAAAAACACTAAGACATATTCCAGGTTAAGGGCAGCCAAGGGGTCCTAAGTGCAGATTTTGATCCTAGGCCTCTCCCAGAATTTATTATCTGGTGAAGAACAGGGGTGGCACAGGGATGAGTGACAGTGAGGATGATGGAATCAGTGAGTAACTTGAGCTGGGTAGCCAGGTACAGGACTGCATCTCTGTAAATTGCAGAGATAAAGATATGCAGAAGGATCAATGTACATAATCCAATTAAGGTAGCACTGGAATTGTTTTGGGGGCACTATGGCTTTGGCTTCTGATATGCAAACTCTTGTGCCCTGGGGAGCCATAGCCTCTTATCTTGAGGCTCATACCCAGCTGATATTCCTGGAGCTACTTGCTCTAACATCTCTATTGCTTTTATCCTGTACGAACTTGTATTGTATGGCTAACACTATGCTAAGAATCAGGACTGTCTGTTGTTGGCTATAGAGATTACATATTAGCACCTCATCTAGGCTTATTTGCAATGCTTAGAGCCAATTGAAGAGAGAAGGAAATATCCTAGCCAGCTTTTTAAATATCAGTGTAAGGAGTCTCTAAATAAGCAAAGTCACATTAATTGTTTTGCATTCAAAGGGAGTCACTGGAGTTGCTTAGAAAGAACGGTTCATGTAGAGAGCTTTCAGCCCACATTCCCCATAGTACAGGGAGAATGCATGTGTAAGTCCTGAGTGATGCAGTCTGGGTGTATAGACTACAATAGCCAACAAACTTATGTTCAACAAAGAAATGGTGTTACATTGATCAGACTTTTACTCAACATTTTAGAGCCAGGTTAAACAGAATATTATGCAGAATATTTTAATTGTATTTTATCCAACAGGACAGATATGAATTGGCTATCATTTCTGAAAATCTTGACACTGAGGCAAAGATATCATTATCTCCAGCAACATCTGGAGCCTGACTTTCCAGGTCTTGATATTTTGCCAAGGGACAACGTTAATTTGAGCTAAAGTACTTGTTTATTTCCACTGGCTCATGCCATCTTCAGCTGCTGCAAGTTTGATGGCACTTCCACAGCTGAGGTCTTGGCTTTATGGAGCCACATCACTGGATCAGATGGGTTCTGAGTACCACAGTAACTGTGCTTGGAACTTGTAGTGTGACTGATTACTCAGCAGAAAGAGTTACATGGAAGGATGACACAGGGTTCCTCAGACAATCCACTTTTACTTCCTGCAATGCTTAGATGTGAAATACTATTTAGAACACAGGTAAAAATGGCAGGGTCAAAGAAACTTCTAAAATTTATCCAGAGCATGTTATGAGCTTCTTGTAAAACTTATAACAAAGCTTTGGATTGCTGTTCATCAATAAAGGCTGCCTAATAATGTAGTAAAAGTGATTATGTTTCTAACACTATTTCAGAGAATTTAGGTTCATTCAGGGAAATCTCTCAAATGGTATTCTCAGTAGTCCAGTATTGAGAGTACAAAAAGAGCTGTAACTTTCTGGATGGTTTCCTTTTCAATATGACTTTTCTTTTTGGACATGTCATGACCATGTAAAACCAAACTCTGTACTCTGTGGGTGGTGGTTTTGGATGTCTTACACTGTACTATTTCCAGGCCATCTAGGGAAGTGGTGTCCACTTTGAAGATGTGCACTTATCTCCAGTTTGTGAAGCCATGGGAGAAAGTAGGCAAGAAAATCAAAGAAAATGTACATGTGTGTTTCCTCAGTTACATGACAGAGTGGCCACACAACTATTCCAGCATTCTGATCAACAGAAAAAAATCTCTCTGAAGTGGTTTTTGAACCATTCATCAGGATTCTGCTGGATTTTGTGTGTTAGTCAATTTGTATATAGAGCTGAAAACATTTCAGAATGTTTGTATCTCTGTGTAAGTGTGAGTGTCGTTGGGTGTCAATGACACCCAAAATCTTTGTACTACATTATATCCTAACCCAAGTCATTTGCTCATACCTCTAGTGAAGAACACAGAAAAGCTTAAGTACCTCAATTAGCACTCATTTCAACTTAGTCCACTGTTCCTGATGTCACATGTTGAAATGGTATAGTAATCATTACAAATAATCTGTGTGTGTAAAGAAAACAGCTTCACAAACTATCCAGATTGGCTTTCTTCACAATCGCCTGCACAGAGCATCTTTGACCTCTTTGTTCCTTAAGGTGTACACAACAGGGTTCAGCAAGGGTGTGACAACAGTGTAGGTCACTGAGATGAGTCTGTCCTGTCCCAGGGAACTCTTAGACTTAGGCTTGAGATAGACGATCGAGGCACAGCCATAGTGGATGACGACCACTATGAGGTGGGAGGCACAGGTGGCAAAGGCCTTCTTCCTGCCCTCTGCTGAGGAAATCCTAAGGATGGTGGAGATAATGAGGATGTAGGAGATGAAGACCAGGGTCATTGGTAGAACAAGGACAAAAACACTCACGACAAAGGTAATGATCTCGTTGACAGTGGTATTTGCACAGGCCAGCTTCAGCAGGGGTCTCACGTCACAGAAGAAGTGGGAGATGACAAAGCCATTGCAGAAAGGCAGACCAAACACAGATGTGACCTGGACAATAGCCATGCTCAGGCCAAATCCCAGTGATCCAGATGCCAGCTGGATACAAGCCATTTTGCCCATGATAACCGAATACCTTAGAGGATTGCAGATGGCCACATAGCGGTCATATCCCATTGCTGTCAGCAGAAAGCAGCTGCAGATTCCAAATGTAAGAAAGAAGAAGAGCTGTGTGGCACAGTATTGGAAAGCAATAGTCTTCTGAGGATTCAGGAGGTCAGAAAGCATACGTGGAATGATGGCCACAGTGTAGCAGGTCTCGGAGATAGAAAGCATGCTCAGGAAGAAATACATGGGAGTGTGAAGGTGACGATCCAGGCGAATAATTGTCACAATAATCACATTGCCAGACAGAGTCAGCAGGTACAGTGTTAGGAAAACAACAAAGAGCACAAGCCTGTGCTGCCACCCATAACTAGAGAAGCCTTCAAAAAGGAACTCCGTGATGTAAGTTGAGTTTATTCCTGGCACTGTCATTGTAGCTGGTCCAGGTGTGAAGGAGCTGGACAAAGGAAGGAAAAGTGTGATGGGTCAAGCGTGAGACTCAGCAGGCTGAACCAAGGTGTTCAGGCCAGAGCATATCCAGCCTCTGGGCGTTGCTCTAGATCACAGAGGTCATCACTATTTGGACTCTATGTACGTGTATATTTATTTTGGTGCTGATAACATAACTCAGGACCTTGCGCTCTCCAGGCCATTGCTTGTGCCCCAGGGATATATCACAGGCCCATCATTGGCATTCAGTTAGTGTGTGATTCCTCAAGTTTTCTTCCTTGCCTACCTCTTAATTGATGCTTTTGAAATGTTCTTCTGAGATCCTAGCATTGAAGCCGAAACAGAGATGAAGAGAAAATTAGAGACCTGTTAGTGAAGATTTACAAAGCTACCTAATTGGAGATTCTTATTTAGATATGAAATTGTTGGATCTTATGGTAGTTTTATTTTTAAATAAGTGAGGATCTTCTGTACTTTTTTCCGTAGAAGTTTTACAATTTTACATTTCCACCATGGAAATGTGCAGGTTTTCTTTTCCTCAAGTCCATTTGAGTATTTAGTATCTGATGTTGATAGATTAAAAAATAGTATCACTTGTCACTGTTGGGAGGTAATATCTCATTGTGGTTTTCATTTGTGCTTCCCTGCTAATTACTGCTATTGATCATCTTTCTATTTATCTCAGTTAAAGTGACATCCCTAAAGATATATTTGTACTCCCAACATTTGTTATGACATTAAATACTAGAATCAAATTATGGAAATAGCTCAAATGTTCATAGGCAAATGAATGGATTAAGGAAACTATGGTAAGTATGTGGGATGGAATACTATTTACCCTCAAAAAGAAGATTATACACAATTTACAGTGACAGATAAACCTACAGGATATGTATTAAGTGAAATAAGCCAGTTATAGGCTAACTGCATGATTTAATTATCTGAGGTGCTTAATATAGTCAAATTGATTGAAACAGAGAGTGGTACAGTATCTACTAGGGATTAGGATAAAGGAAATTAACAAGTTGTTACCTCACTACCATAAAGCTTCAACTATGCAACATGAATGAATTTTTGAGCTTTGTTGTACTACAAAGCATATATAGTCAGTCGCAGTGTAATATAAATTTTAACATTTGTTAATAGTGCTGATCTCATAAGTATCTTACTATGAAATAAAATGAAACAGAATACCAAAGATATTGGAAGAAATTTCTGAAGGTATTTTATGTGTGTTTCCACAGATAATGCTTTGATAGGTTTATATCTCATTCAAATTCATGAGATTTATACATTTAGTGTATTCAAGTTACTTGGCATTAATTATACTCAGTCAAATGTTGAAAGAGAGAGAGAAGGAAAGAAAGAAAGAAAGAAAGAAAGAAAGAAAGAAAGAAAGAAAGAAAGAAAGAAAGAAAGAAAAAGAAAGAAAGAAAGAAAGAAAGAATGGAAAAGAAAGATATACTTGACCATTGGATAGTTGTTGAGTGGAGAAATCGTGAAACATCAAATGTGCCCAGATCTTTGCTCCTCCTCAGCACACCTTCAGGAGTCCCTGAAGAAGTAAATGACAAATGACCAAGTGAAACATAAAAGATGTGTGAGACTGATTCCCTTCCAATGCTGTCAGCAACATTTGATGCCAAGTGTTCCTCTAGAGAACAGAGCAGTCTCTCGGCTACTATTTCTCCAAAAACCAGAGTATCTTATAAGATCATGAGACATGATTATAGACCACTGGAGATATTTACTTTGTCTCCGTGAATTCTGGCCATAGAAATAGAGAAAAAACCTGAAGATATCTCTTCAATTAGGAAATGAGCTTTCGCCATTCCTTTCCATGCTATGTTAGAGATGGAAATGAGCTGGCCCTTCTACATTTTGTCATATCCCTGTGAATTCATCACTAGGGCCTGTACTGGGGCAGATTGATCTTTACCCCTCAGCCAAGTTTAACCACCATCTGCACTGTTTCTTCCCTATTCTACCCAAGCCAAAGGCAATGCCTCCTGCACTTCCTCTCTGTATCCTCCTCTTTGTGCTTGCTAACAAGACCTAACTTGCTCAACCAACTAACTTGACCACTGTCATTACCTGTGACCACTGCAACGACCTCCTAACATATCTTGCTGTTTTGAAGGGCCTTAACCTATACCTTCTTACTGACTCTGGTTGTTACAGCCCTTCAAAATCAGTCCCAGGCTGATTAGAAATGCAGTCATGACTAGAAAGAAATGCATCCATCTTATCTTTGACAAAGGGGAAAAATACGTTCTCTGGAAGAAAACCTCTTTATTAAAGGATGCTGGAAAAACTGGCGTGTCCACATGCTAAAGACTAAAACTAGACTCATTTGTATCACTGCGCCCTAAGCTAAAATAACAATGAATCAAAGATCTACGTATTAAAACAGAAACACTAAATCTATTGGAAGGAAAAGTAGGTAGAAATCTGGAAGATACTGGGGCAGGCAGAGTGTTCATGAACAAAACCCAAAGTACTTCAAAGAGTCAACAACTGGGATCTCATCTTATTAGAAAGTTTTTGCATATCAAAAGAAATCTTCAACAGAGTGAAAGACAAACCCACATACCAGGAAAAGATTTTAGACAACTGTCCCTCAGACAAAGAAGTTCTATCTAGAATATATAAAGAATTTTAAAAATCAGGCCCCCAATTACAAAGATCGAATCTGAAAATAGGTATTGAAAATGAATATGCATTTCTCAGATGAAGAAACACAAATGGCAAATAAATATATGAAGGAATGTTCAAATCATTTGAGAAATGCAAATTAAAACAATACTGAGATTCCATCTAACCCCTGAAAGAATAGCTGTCATTAAGAAATCAATCAATAACAAACAATGGATGGTCTGCTAAAAAGGAACCCTTCTCCACTTTTGGTGGGAATGTAGACTGGTACAATCACTGTGAAAGTGAATGTGGAGAATCCTCAAAAAACTGGGAGTAAAGATTCAAATCATCCCAGGTATTTTCCTCCTGGATATTTTCCCAGTAGAATTACAAACATCATACCACAGTGATATATGTGCATCTATGTTTATAGCACCACACTTTATAATGGCTAAATCTTGGAAACAACTCAAATTTTTATCAACCAAGGAATGGATAAAAAGATGTGGTCTTTTATGTCATGTAATTCATCTATAAAGAAGGATAAAGTTGAGGCTTTTATAGATAAATGGGTACAACTTGAGACAATAGTCATAAGGGAAATAGATCAGAATCACATGTATAAACATCGTATTGTCGCCTTAGTGTTAGAAATTGAAAGAATAAATGAGACTCAATGCATACAGTAGGTTTTCTGAAGGGGAAGAAATTGTTGGGGGCTGGGGATTTAGCTCAGCGGCATATGCACCTGCCTTGCAAGCAGGCGGTCATGAGTTCGATCCCTGGTACCGATAAAAATGAAAAAGACAAAAAAAAAAAAAAAAAAAAGAAAGAAATTGCTCAAAAGGAAATAACAAGAGCGACAGAGGAAAATAGAAAAGAAGCAAGGTAAAAGCGCTTATAATGTTTGATCAATTTAGCATGCCTTTATCTTGTAATCTAAGAAATAGATTTAAAGATAATAATGCACCATACGTTTACCATTGTTAATCACCTATAATCTTGTTTTGAAACTCCATATCATTGTTTTTATTGTTTTTTTCTCTTTAAATTTTAAAAAACAAAGATGTTCCTGGAGCTTCCCTGAGTAAATGACTTCACATGCCTCTCAAATTTCTAAAAACAATATTGAAGCCCATTTACAAGTTGATTATGTTAATATAAGACAGAGTTGCATGAAAATTAAATAGGTGAGTATATTTAAAGAATTTAACCCAGCACACAGAAAGCACTTGTTAAGCAGTAATTTTTTTAGTGCTTATTCCCTTTTATTTTTCACAAGTGAATCAGTTTAAATTTGTAAGTGGCACACAGAATGAATAGAGCAGGAACACTCAAACATTTCTGTAAGTTTGATCTTGAATAACATACTGATCATGCCCAACATTTTTAACTCTCACCTAGATCAGAAAGGCCATCCAACTAACATACTCAGAAATATTTAAAATGATATTTATTCCATGTTAATGATGACGCTTTGGAGCCAATCAATGTTAACTCACAACTTCCATTGTACTTGTACACAGTGAAATTCATGCACATTACTCATGTTACTTAGTTCACTTTATGGACTGGACTTCATCCCAAACAGTGGCCTGGAGTATTTCCCTTTCCCTAGTCTTCCAGACTATTTGTCAATAACACTCAAAAAAAAAAAAAAATCCTCTGCCCCAGCACATACTGTTTTGAAAGCCTAACAGGCAGAATGATTAGCACAGGGGCACAAGCTGTGGGGGATACATAGGAAGCATTACCAAGAAAATGATTACTCATCTCGGGTCTAGGAGATAGAAATGAGGAGTAAAAGCTAGAGAGGTAAATGGAAGAAATGCTTAAATGATGTCACAAAATTCAGATGACACATTTGAAATTGAAATTGAAATTGCTGGCTTACATACTTTCCATTCTTTTAAAATAAATGATGCCCAAATGAGTGTAGTCCAGTACTAGATATTCTGCTTATTATTCTAAATATTCTGCTTATTATTTTTCAATAGAAAAGGATATTCATTCTATATTTTATGAAATTAAAAATCTCTGTTAATTTTGGGTTATTTAAAACATAATTTATCTTGATTTCACCAAACAAAACCATTTGTTCACCTGTTCAGCGTGCTCAGTGGTCACATGAACATGTGTTCTGCCATACCTTGGAAAGGAAGATCAAGGTGATCTTGGCTCACTTGGACCTTAGATTCTTAAACAGCCTTTGAGATACACCTTAGTGAACGGCCTGATTTCACTTCTTTTCCTCATTAGACTGCTCATCTACGTTTCAAAGTTCTGAGAGATTATATTATTTCCTGTGAGATGCATGTTCCCATTACTCTGCAGATTGGCGCTCG